ACATGTTCAATTTGACATGTTTCGCCTGTTGTTTCACTACACATTTGAAATTAAGCTTTGAAATAAAGATAAATATGAAGATGAAGGAATAAATGATAACGATGAAGTCAATCAAAAAGAAGGAAAAATTGATGATAAAGACGAAAATGGAGACAATAACAGAATTAGGGTAACTAAAAGGGTAAGAACATTTCTTGAATTTATGAACTGAAACTTCTTTAGCGGCAGTTGGTTGGTTGGGAGTAAATTGTCAAATTCAAGCGGAATAATGCACATGGAAATAGTTCTCAGCGGTTTAGCGGTTTGAGAATAAAAACAAAAACAAAGATGCCTAGAGGTACAGGCAAAAACGAAGATCAAAGTAAATTTAAACACTTTAAGGTAAAGGTGAAGAGGAATATTCAAAAATAAAGATAAATATGAAGAAAAGGATGAGGATGAAGATCGATATTGTTATCGATATAAAACTCGATATTTTAATCGATATAATAATCGATATTGCTATCGATAAACTAATCGATATTGTTATTGATTAAATAACCGCTATTGTAATCGATATAATAATCAATATAATAATCGATATTGTTATCGATACAATAATGGATATTGTTATCGGTATAATAATCGATTAAATATTTGATTTTGTTGTCGATATAGTCATTTATATTGTTAACGATATGTACAATAATCGATACTGATGATTGTTATATTTATCGAGAAATTAATCGATTTTACAATCGTTGTATTTTTCTCTATGTTTATGGATATTGTTATCGGTATTTTTATCGACACAGTTATCAACAGGGTTATCGATACAGTAATCGGAACATGGAATGTGATCACATTACATGACATCACATCACATTTTATCACATGATATGAAGAGACATCACTTAATATGATATCACATCACACGATATCACGTGACATGACATTATATGATATGACATCACATTATATGGCATGACATCACATGACTTGACATCACATGACACAATATGACATGGCATGGCAGTACATGACGTGGCATTACATGATATGACATCATATGGTATGACATCATATGACATGACATCACAGGATATGGAAACACATGACATGAAATCTTATCACATCACATAAAATCACGTCACATCTTATCACGTCATCGCACCTCATCTCATCTACGTGAATAGAAAAAGAAAGGATATAAGCAAAGATGTGAAAGATAAAAACAAAGATGAAGACCAAGGTAAAGCTACCGATTTTAAAACCAAAAACACCGTTGGAAAGGTAATTTTCTGTAGATGAGGAGAGTTTTTATAGTTTCGAAATTGGTTGAAAATCGTCGTTTATAAATTTCCATATTTGTGTATGGTTGTTTTTGCAACCTGTTCAATTTAAGCTGTTTCGCATTTTGTTTTACTTCGTATTTTAAATTAAACTTTGAAATAAAGATAAATATGAAGATGAAGAAGCAAGTGATAACGATGAAGACAAAAGAAAGGCAAAAGTGAAGATAAAGACGAAAATTGAGATAAAGGCGAAAATGGAGACAATGAGAAATATCTACATAAGAATTAGGTTAAAAGATAGGAATCGAAATAAAATCAGCCATAAGGGTTACTGAAATTTATCGAATCTTCGAAGTTTATAATTATCGAAATTTATCCATGCTTATTAAGTTATCGCAACGTATCGAATTATTCAAACTGATCAATGTTTACTGAGTTGTCGAAATTTATAGACACAGAAACTTAGTTGTCCAAATTTACGGATAGTTATCGAGCTATAAAAACGTGTGGGATTAACGAAATTTGTCAAGTTAAAGAAATGTATCAAGTTATCGATATTTATTGAATTATCATTATTTATAGACTTAACGAAATATATCGAGGTGCCGTAATGCATGGAGTTCTTTCAACTTACAGAGTTATCGATAATTATTGATCTACTGAAATTGGTTGGTTCAACAAAGCAAAGTTTATGGAATTTTCAAAATATATCGATTTATCGAAATTTCAAGGATATATAAGCTTATCGATTTATCACTGCTTATCGAATTTAATCGTCTTAACAGAGTGTAACGAGTTACCAAAATGTTTAGATAGTTTTCGAAAAATGTGGAGATGTCAGAAGTAAAAATTTATAAAGGTATCCATACTTTTTACAATTTTGAGTTATCGAAATTCACAGTTATCGAAATTGGTCGAGTTAACGAATTTTGTTAAGTTATCGAATTTTAGTGTTCTTGAAATTAATCGAACTATTGATATGTATCAAATGATCGAAATTTATCGATAAACTTGAATGTATCGGGTCAATTCCAAGTCCTGCCGAAGTCCTCCAAAGACCTTCTCAGATAAAAAAAAATAGTTACGTTTTAGCAGAAGATTTTCCTGTTAGTTAATTTGTACCGTATAAGTATCGCTACGTGTTAAGTTAGAAAACCTCTCCAAGGCTTCTAAAACTAGAAAAACTGTCGAATTTCGACAGTAACTGGCACTCTAGTATTCGTAAATGAGCGTCTCTCGAGTTTTAAGAAAGAATGAGGTATAAGACCTATAGGCCTAAAATCCTTCGGTTTCACATGAGCGACCTTGCCTCCTATTGGTAAGAATACAACTTTCGCCTTTGCCCACTCGTGTGGTATATGAGTTAGGCTTAGACAGACTCTAAAGATCTGAGGAGGCAGATGGCACAGTACGTCCTTAAAATCCTGTAGTTAAGCGAAAAATATTCCGCCAAGTCCCGTCAAGATTTGTTGGGCTGAATTCAATTTGGAAATTTGCTTATTATGAGCATTTATATTAGTAGTTATTGTATTCATTCAAAATTTTATCCAGTTGTGACATACAAAAGGTTCCTATGTTTTAATTTATTTATGTTTTAGATGTGGAGGTGCCACGGATCCTTGTACAAACTCATATATGTTTACCTAATAATGAGCAGATACATCCATATGTTGGTATGGTATCCACACAAAATTTCAGCGTGATGTAACCGATGGTTCCTAACTTATAGATGAGGTTAAATTTTTATATTTCGAGGATGTGGGCGCAAGTGCATATGAGTCCATTTAAAACCAATTATGAATCCCAAAAAGTCAAACTTTATAGCATTCGAAATTAAAAATTACGATTAACAAATCCAAAAGCTCAGTAAACTTTGGAATTTACGTCCTTTTGTCTAAGGCAGTGTACTCTTTCCTGTCACTTACAAGCTTGTTTTAGAACTATTACACATGTTAAAATTACATGACTAATAACATTTTCTCTGTTGTCAGAATATTTGAACCAGTACGAGTTTTTCGTCATTATCCAATTTCTTATTTTTCAAATATGCACTTTAAATCGAATTTAAATTCAATTGTTGACTTTTGGCCACTTTTGACTGAGCTCTGGCCCCGTGTGCGATCGTAGGATTCGAATTTCGAGCCCACGACAGCACGGCTGCTTAAGACTACGTTTCTGACCCAGCGAATTCGCATCGAACAATGCGATCAAAATCGCTACTAGCAATACAAAAATTCGTATGGCGCGGTTAATCTCTGCACCATAAACACCGCCATATGAATTTGTAAAATTGATCCGCTAGGTCATAAACCCGGCCTATTCCGCAATAGTGCCATCTGTCCGTTAATCCGGATTAACATTGAATCTTGAAGAGCGATTTCGATTAGGAACTTCCTGTCTTTTTCCAAATCAAATTAAATTTCCTCGACTTGCCAGATTCACATTTTACAAGCATTCAAAAGTAGTAAGCTTATAGTGCATTTATAGTTAGTTGAGTTCCCTACAGGGTAGCCGCAGAAAATTAAAATTAATTACAATTTAAATGCTATCCAACATATTATTCTTAAAGCAAAATTCCAATATTTACTGTTTGTTGTTTATGCTTCATTCCACTTAGGCATCACATTTACTTAAACCCTCCCTCGTTTCGTCAGTATTTACCTTTTTCATACAGCCGTCATAAGCAGTGTTGCTTTCAGCTTTTTAATAAAATGTCAAAATGATGTTGATTCTTGACATCCTGCTGTTCATCCCTGTTAGATCGCTTTGAATATCCTGCAGGTTTTTAAAGTTGCTACTGACGACAGGATATAAACAAAAGTGCCATGAAAAAAAAACAACATAACTCGCTGGTTTACAGGAGTATTGCAAAATATGTTCAGGGCATGATTTAAAGTTAGCAAAATATTTATGATGTATACATACATACATACATATTTAGATAGGTTTAATGGATTTAAAATTAAAATACCACTTTGCATCGAGTTCAGAAGCACAACGAATCAAGGCTGGATTAATTTTCTCTATATTACAATGGGAAGCCCAAATCAGCAGAATTGCTGATAAATACATCTTTCGAGCAGCTATTTTCAGATTTATATATACAAGTATAACAACACATCTGAATACATACCGTCTCCTTAATTCACAAAGGCCCTAACCAGCAATTTTTTTTACAGGACAAGCAAAAAAAAACAATGAGACGTATTCTGGTTTTCGTACGAAAATTATAGGAAAATTTCATGATTTTCGATTTTTACGAAAACAAGAATACGTCCATTATAAAAATCAAATCATACGTACGGATAGGGCACTATAAAAAGTGGCATAACTTGTTATTTTTGGTACTAACACTTTCAAATTTTAAGTGAAAGTGTCTTTAAACATATCCTACCAAAATCTGTGAAAAACCTAGTTTCGAAAAAGTGTTGGTTAGGGCCCTTTTGAATTAAGGTAACGATATAGTAAATCATAAAAAAAGATACTCAGGGCATTCATACAATTGCGTAAATGCCTCGTTACTTCGTAAACCTCTTTAATAACCAGTTTTCCATACAAGTTAACAGGGTTTACGATGCTTCGAGGTATTTACGCTTTTTTTTTATGAGGCAAATCCAATCAGCTGTTCTAGTAACACCACCTTGTATGAATTCGTCTTGACACAGATCTTTTGAAAATTTACGAAAATTACATAAACCAAGTTTTAATTTGCTTATCTGTTTTCAGGATGGCGCGATTCCATTCTCTCAATTCCCAAAAAATGGCTATCCACTGCAGAGTCCGTCGACGAATTTGGCTTTCCCTGCGTAAGTAAAAAAAAAAAAAAAATATTACTTAAATACTAAAGTACAAAAATTTGTTATATTTAGATGCTTAAATATTGAAGTAAAAAGAATTCGAGTATTTAGAATATGGGTGTTTCCATACAAATGTAAACCGATAGTGCAAGTAACGGCTTTAAAAATTTAAATTTTGTATTTGTGGCGAAAAAGGTTACGGCAGCCCGAAACGGTGGACCTCACAGGATTCGCAGAGTTTTGCTTATTTTTACGTGTTCTCTGAAACCGCTTCTGTTTTTGTCATGTCCGTTATGCCCTACTTTTCATCGATTTTCTCGACACCAGTGTTTCAAGCGCACCTGATTTTTTTTTTGTCAACCACAGGACCGTCTAAAAGCTACACTAGAGCAAATCTTTTTTTATAAATGGCTTCTGTTTTCGTATGATTTATTTAACTCTTTAGCCGTACGAATGTCACATCCGACATCATGGAAACACCCAATAGGGTTCAGAAGAACAATCACATTGCATCCCTCAGCAGTAGTCAGCCATCATATGACTAGTGATGTGATGAATTGGTGATACCCAATACTCGGTACCCAATACTTGAAGAAAATTTCGGTACCCAATACTTTATTTTCGGTACCCGATACCGATTCGATACATTAAACCTTCCTCATTACATATACACTTCTTGTCAGCTGATTAAGTTTAGTCATATTAATCCACATTTCAAACTTTTTACAAAAATTCAACAAACTTTAACAATTATACCTAAAAATTTTAAACTTTGTATTAAAAAATTTGGGTATACAGTTTTATAGCCCATTATATTTTGGTAGTTTAACTTCAATAACTCTTTTTTTGCTGACGGTCCTAGGCATTTTCCTCCATATAAAAGTAATCCGCGATCATACTTAATATGGGAGAAAACCGTCAACCGAAAAAATTATTAAAAATCAGCACAATTTCCAAGCTTCTTTAAATTTGCACTTAAACCAACTAAAATTTAATGGGCTATAAAACTGTATAAAAAGCTTAAATGTTTTGCGTGTAACTGTTAAAGCTTGTTTAATTTTAATAAATTTTGTACGAAGTTTGAGATGTGGATTTATGTGGTGCTGGTTATGTAAGGTGCTAAACTTTTATAAAAAAAATTATACACAATTAATAGACAAATGAAAAATAGGTAAAACTGGTCAAAATGTCACTAAACTTAATCAGCCGACGGCAAGGGTGTACTTTTGAAGTTTGCAGAAAAAAAATCATATGACATCGCCTCAAATAAAAAAGGTACAAGTAAGACAATATAAGGCAAAAGTTATTGTGGGAACATTGTTAAATCGTAATATTTTTACGATTTGCATTGTGGTTGCCGCAGAGGCAGATATTAATCTAGTAACGAGAACGTTCAGTTCCAAATAATCTGGAGAAATAGACTTCTTTAACCATATATTAATGACTTCAATGATCACTCAAGAGCTTTTATTCCATATTTGTGGGACTCTTATTAGAAATTCTAATATTTCGGTACCGAGTATCGGAAGTATTGGATACTTTTTAAGCCGGTACCGAGTATCGATCAATACTTAAAAGTACCGACTCAGCACATCACTACATATGACGATTCCATCGGCCTTGGTACCTCTCTTCAATAGTTTTAAGTTTCTGGTGAACCGCTCCCCTTGTTCTTCACTATATGATTCTCTGGGAATTTACCAAGATGACTGCAGAGGAAGTGGAAATTTTCTCATTATACATATGTATGTATATGCTTCATGTTCAATATAATCTTTGCTCCTGAAACCAAAAATGTATTTACGATATTCTGCTTTCCCAACTCCGTCATCTACGTAAGGCTCCGTTTAGAACTCTCTATGAAAAGACGCCAGTAATTTTGCTGGTATGTATTCCAAAAGACGCATTTCCAAAACAAGGCCTTAGATATCTGAACGAAAAACAATATCTTTTTCAGACATGTCCCCTGAATATTGTTCTAAGTGTGAATAAATATTTTTTTAAGGTTAACATTTACGTAGCTTAACACATCATAAGCAGAGGTGTAAAATTACGATTAGCATTAGTAATCATTATGATTCATTGTTGTTGGTAATTTTAATGATTATTTGAATTTCCCTTTGTAACCTGGAAATTACCCTTCAGGAAATGGGACTAGTTTGTAGCTCACTATTAATTAACTAGCATTCGACTAGTGGTAACTATTTATTAACTATTTTATTTAGCCGTAACCAACTCCATTTGAAGGGCGATGGCCGCAAAATAGTGAGAACTGGTTTCCTCCGCATTAGATGTCAACTAACATGTAGCTAACTACTTTTGGACATAAAATATGAATAACAAAAACAAAATATTTTTATTGTTTTTTTTTTTAATTTTTTATTTTTTTTTATTTACCTTATTTTATTACATTTCAAATTTGTTTACATACTCTGCTTTAGGTGGTCCCATATTCGAACACCATCAGACATAACTTCAAAATGATAAAATAAAATTTCGATCTTCCTTTTAGTTGTCCTGAATACGAAAAAGAATATGCGAAGTTCAGAAAAAAAGTGTATTGAAAGTACTATTTGTGAAGATGTTTAAAAAAAAGTGTAAAGAAAACAAACTCCCGATAACGTTTGCATGGCTCTTGCACGACCTTACAACTAACTTAAAGTTAGTTTTGCCTTAGCTAATTAGAAGTTAGTTATTTATCGAACTCACGCAAAAAAGCTAACTAGAAGTTGGTTATTTTAATGAATTGATATTTTTTTATGCAGGGTAATAACAATGTAAGGACGCTAAAATTACACAAAAAAAAAACGCTGAAACACGTAAACTTAACTTTGGCTCGTAGATTACGGTCCTGTATACCGTTTTTCTAGGCCAGTTCATTTTCGCTAGATAGGTTTTTTTTAGGTTTGAATTGTAAATGAAAAGAATTCAAACTTTAACAGGAAAAAAATTTAAACACAAAGAATTTTTGTGAATTTTTTTTCATTTGTGTTAAAGTCTGTTCTTTTACTAAAATATCAAGCTATCGACGAAGAAAATAAATTGATAAATAAAGTTGTAAATCGTTAAATGAAAATTCGCAATGATTTATTATTTATGAAATACAACTAGGAAAGAATGTTACTCATACGCCATGTATGAACTATTTTTAATGAAACCATAATTTGGGATGGAAACATTCTGTAAAAAATAAGGTATTGCAAGTTTTCATTTGACCATTTATAACTTTATTTATCAATCAATTTTCCTCTTGATAGCTTTATGTTGTTATAAAAAAACAGGCTTTAACACAAATCAAAAGAAATTATAAAAATTATTTTATTTTAAAATTTTTTCCCTGTTAAAGCTTGCATTTTTTCATTCACAATCTGTATGTAAAGTAAAGTATGCAGGTACCTTTACTTTCGGATGTTACATTTAAACTATTTTCTTTATTTTAACTAATATATACAAGTACATATATATGTACGTTCATCTGTGCCTTAATTCAGAAATTTCCACATACTTCCATCCACCCTTACAAATCCCCCTTTTGTTGACATTGAACTAAACAAATACGCTACTGGTTACAAAAGCTATATAAACAGAAATGTATGTATGTAGGTGCATACATGGTTATGTTAATGCTTAGGTATGTACATATATACGAGTATGTATTATCCTTTGCACTTTTCGACGCGTGCTCCCAACCACCATACAATTGCTTCCAAAGTCAATATCTCCTGAACAAATACCTACACAACTACTTAATCCTGTTTGTTATAATTAGTAATGCAAATACCTAATGAAAAACGTACTTACATACATACTGTAGACTTGTCAATCTTCCCACATTCACTTCGCTGTGTCGGCATCCACCAGGCAACATTGTCTGAATCTAATAGATTCCTTCTTTATTTGAGCGCACGTTGTGTTAGGTTAGATAACATCAATGGGACAAGAAAACTTAAATGTGCCTGTGAGGGACAATGTAATGATTGCTTTACTTAGAGGGCTATATCCGCAGGGTTAGAGGCATATCTTCCATAAGTAAACTCTATAGGCAATGGTAAAATATGTAATAAGCTTTAATTTTTAATTCCACATCAAATATCTGGTTCAATACAGAAGGGTTACGTTTGGAAGAAAGTAGTAACTGATTGGCTACATGATTAGGGATTTGACCTTTGAGTGGAATTTCGGAGCCACTATAGTGGTCGAAGTTTAGCAAGAGGGCATGAGTAGTCCTAACTTGGTGAATATTTAAAACTACGGGTCGAAAATGAATAAGGGTTTAAATGCGGCAGTAATCTGATCGGTGCTCGATCTGAATAGATCCTATAATACCGTTGCATTATTTTCCAGTCCGAAGTATTACCCACAAAGAGTGCGGCAGAAGGACTGACGGGTAAATTTCTGTTTTGGCAGTCAGGCTGCACTAAAGGCACTACTCTTGGACAGCACTTCCTCAAGAAGTGTGGAACAATGCAGGCCAGCTTTAGTTGTGGTACATACCGGCACGGATGTACCTATTTACCCTTACACAGGTATCACAGGTAATGAGGAGGCAGACAGGCTTGCCAAAGACGAAGCGCTGATTTCCCTTCAAGCAATTAAACAGAAGCTCGGCATATACATGATGCGGAAGTCGCAGCAGGTATGGACCAAAAGACAAATTTGCAAAGTGTTTAAGATTAAGTACAGAGCCTACGATATCAAGCCGCCTACACCTGAAGATAGATAATGCAGGAATACTGGTTGATGCTCTAACGGGGCATCACCTGCTAGAATGGCATGCCTTTAAATTGGCTCTATTCAATTATAAGCTATATAATAGCTGGCTTGTCCTCAACACACTGCGTATTAGTCTTCTAGGAACGGGCTTTCTGCCTATTCTGAAAGCCACCGCCAAGATGGGGTACAACAAGGTGTTCTAATTTGCCCAGAGACTAAGGGCTGGTTTCTCCACCTCAGCTTAATTTAGTTTAGCCAATTTTTTTAAACTTACTAAAGAATAAGCTGAATGAAAAGTAGGCTAACTTTTGGCTTATGTCCAAAAAGTGGCTAAACAAAGTTAAGTTGAGTACGAGAAACCAGCCTTAAGAGTGTATGATGCACTGATTTAAGGTACAAATCAACCAGGCAATGTTAGCCGGTGCTATACTAGACCTTCTCATATTGACAGCAACATATGTATGTATGTAAGTTTCACCCATCTGCAGTCCTTCAATGCCTCCCAGTAATTGCTGACCGAAATAATGCCCCAGTTTCTGGCGGCTCGCAGAAGGTCTTCCTAGGTATTTGCTTTAAGAAAAGTACTGTCTGTACCTATTCAAGTGCAGTGGGCTGCATACTTGCTTACAAAATAACGTTATTCCCCTAAAATCATCAAAATGGACCGACAAGAGCAATCGACCGCTTGACGTTAACACGTACAATAAAAAGTATGTACGTTGTCCTTTAATCGATTTTCATGTAGGTAAAGTTTTGTATACTCTATGCATTCTACATACCTACATACATACATATGTTTGTATGTACAATAGACATGTGACTCTATGTAATTCCCCAATGTATTCTTCTCACAAGGCTAAATTCGATTTGTTGTCAACTGAAATAACACATTGCATATAAATGAAGAAATTTCGTGCAGCAAAACTTTTTACGTTAACGTCAAAAAATAAATGCGAATCGAAATAGTGTTAAGAGGGCGGAAAAAGTGCAAATTGAAGAGTTGGCAACACAAAGATGATTTGGTTTGGTTAAAGAATATGAATGCAAACACTGCCTTAAGCAAGAAGTATATTTATGGCCGTTTTTTATGTAGTTCTTAAATTTATCTGGCGTTTAAAGGGCAGCAAAATTTAAACATTGACGTGAGAAAACCGCCCTTAAATAGTACTTGAACGACTCTAATGCCATTTGAAGGAATTTAACTAAGATTTAGTAGTTTGAACCCATTCCTTGGTTTTTTTGTTTTTTTCTTTTTTGGGTACTAGGTTACGCAACTAAGTAACCTAACGTGTTTATCATTTACTTTTACAGACACTACCAAAAGTACCAGTCCCACCGTTGGAGGAGACCATGGCTAATTATTTGCGTGCCATTGAGGCCTTCACGTTACCAGCAAAACTCGAGAGCACGAAACTTTTGGTTAAGAAGTTTATGGCGCCAGAAGGTATTGGTCCAAAATGTCATCAGTACTTATTGGAAAAACGTGAGGCTGAAGATAATTGGGTAAGATATTAATTTACTTATGTTTAACTATCAACTACTTGATTGTTATTTTAGATTTTTCTTTTTTAGGTAAGTTAAAAGTATATTATGTAATAAATTAAATATAACTCCGGCAGCCGGATTGCTTGCACAAAGTCGCGTTATGAGGACTTTACAAAATCTGGCGACCGGCAAGGGTGAAACGGGTATAATAAAAATTTGGCGAGTTAACGCTAGATCTATTTTTCCAAGAGAAGTCCTTAGTTAGTCATATTTTCCATCAGGCATGAGATTTTCAGTGATATTACTATGGCCTGCCACCTATGAACATACAAATATACACAATTCTGGCAGGGTAATACTTAGAGGTGACCAAAAGAAAAGTTAGGCATTCCTCTGCTAGCCTTACGCGCACCCTAAGCGATCCCAGGGCTCATTTATAGCCGTAACCTCTACCTGGAAAGGTTGATGGGAGGTTCCCTGAAAAAGACCCCTCCACCGACCTTTCCGTCAAGCTCGAATCCATCCGTTAAAAGACCACCGCTGCCTCCTTCCAATTCATGCCTCCCGTCTATTTGTCCTTAAATGGAATGTGCGTGGCGAAAGAGTTAATTGCGGCTACTTTTACTCTCATACAACTTAATTTCAATGATCCCTTGCCATCCTATAGCGCCCGCTGTATGCTTTTAGGCACACAGTCACATCGAGAAGATTATTGTCACCGCTTTTGATTGTTTACGATATCATTGCTAAGCTCATGGATTGCCCGAAACTATTTGAGCTGATGTTTCGCAACGAACAAAACGCTTTCAGTATCCGTTTCATGTCAAGCTAATTATAATTATTTTGCACGATTGCAAGAGACCTGTTTGTAATCGCTAGAATATTCAGCCTTGAACGAGATATTGCTCTCTCGTTTTGGCTCAAAGCTTGAATCTTTAGCATTTTAGTCATATAAATTCTTAGTTAAGTCTAATTTTGGAATCTTGTCTGTATGGTTTACATATATGTGCCCCTAAATTAAAGTATCCTAGGTCGAGATAGGCCCATTTTCCTTTAAAGCAACATTTCCTTGGATTATCGAACAATATTTTAGCGTTCAACTAGCCAAAGGTGTAGTTCAAGATGACCGGCATAATGCAGAATTTCCTCTAGGAATTGGAATTACAAAAAATATATGTCATTTAAAAAATGCCATGTGGTAATGCCCAACATTGTCATTAAAAATTTTGACACGTAAGTGGCTATTGGATTGGAAATTCAGCATCGTCTGTTTTCACATGTCTTTTTCTAAATGGCATAATTTTTAGTTTTTTTTTTTTAATGCCTACGCTGAGAAAGAGTTTATTTGTAAGTAAACTAAATATGTTTTGTCTCAATACATGATTTGGTTACAGTTAGAGCGGCTGCCACCGCGCAGGGCACGAAGCAAACGTAGGCTGGCAAAGCGCGTTGTGACTGTTTTGGTTACAGTTACATAATTTGGTTATAGTTACCAATTCATGAGTTAAGATAAATACATATATTTACCTTATATTTTTCCAATTCAATTTTAATAAAATAATAAATAAATTAGAACTTCCAATACTCCCATGTATTTTAAGAACTAAAGATTTCTTTATAAAAATTCTGCAGGAGTACTAAAATTCAGGTATCGAACAAATGCTAATGACTTTCATTAAAACAAAATGTGGTTTAAATGTTCCATTTTACAAAGTCGATTTTTGTATAGTTAAGTGTTTTAAACGGTTTATTTTAATTTTAATTAATCGTTTTTTGTTTTTTATGTCTCATTAAATTAAAACCATAATTTTTTAAAAACTCTCTTCGCTTTTGCAGGTTACAGTTTATTGGTCGAAAATATGGGTCTTTCCGGAAATTTATTTTGTAAAAAAAAATCTGGCAACACTGTTCACATGTTACATTAAAAAAATAAGTTCTGATCTCTGTGGTGATTTATTTTTCTCCAAAACTTCCACTGGTGATTCCAAAATTTAGCGATTTTGTTTTTTTTTAATCACTCGCTGTGGGCGGGACTAATTCTATAACGGGTGGCGTTGGTGCTGGAGTGGGAGGAATTGGTACAAGAGTTGTGCCACCTGTTGCTTGTGGCGATGGTGGGCCAGGGAATGCAGTTGTTGTAGTAGCTGACTCAGCTGTAGATTCAGCTGTACTTGTTGAGTCTTCACTTGGCTCAACGGAACTCTCATCACCAGCACTACTAGTACTACCAGAACTACCAGAACTAGTTGTACTATCACTACTGACCGGCGTAGTAGTGGCCGGACTTGGATAACGGGGTGTTGGATAAGTAACAGTTCCAGTGGCGCTGCTGCTCTCACTGCCACCACCACTGCTGCCACCACCACTTCCAGCATTTATATCCACGCATACAGGTGTGTTTTGAGTTGGTAATTTCGAACACTCCACCGCTGGCAAGTAGTCCGCGCAAGGTTTGCAAGTTTGCAATACGTAGACAAATACCTGACCACTTGGGCAGTCAATGAGTTGCGCATTATTAACTTGAATACATTTATAATATTTCGTTTGATCCTCGTAGTTGGGCCATTTGATAATCAAATCATTAGTGTCACATGCTGGCACCAATTTTTGCGTATACGTTTTTACTTCACAACCGTCAGCACTGCGGAGCAAGCCCACGATGGCCAATGACCAAAGGAGCAATGTAACTGAAAAAAACAAAAAACAAAAACAACAAAATCGTATGCTTACTATGAAGTAGGAGAATTTTCGAAATTTTCACAGTTCTCAGAACGTGAAATGTAAAGCGAATTTATGTACCTTTACACATTTCGAAACGCGCTAACTCTTTACCAAAATGAAACTAAATTATTTTGTGGTTATTACGAGGTTTTTATCGATTTTGGGAAAGTTTTTATGATAGCTATTAATAAAATTTGTATATATTAATTTAGATACGTGTGCACATATGTAAAGCAGGTACGTTACATACAAAATCGCTCGTTGATTTGGTATCAAGTTTGATCATAAAAATTATTCAAATCAATGTAGTATATGTATACAATAGGGTGGTCAAAAAATACGCTGGAAAATCAACTCTTTGGAATTATCTGCTTCCGCCCCACAGAATTATAGAAAATGGAAAGAAAACAAGACCTGATTTTGCTGCAAAATCGTTAAAAATAAATAGTTTTTGGCCGAATGAAAATATTTCCCTTAAGAAATATTCCAATCATAGAATTATGGTGCTCGACACATAAATTAAGTAATTTTTGTATTCAAGAGTTGAGATTATCGGTTATGAAAAAGCAGTTGGTAAAATTATAAAGTTAAATATGCATAATAATTTTATTATTGGAAGATATTTAAAAAGATATTTATTTTTTACCGATTTCATGGCAATTCTACAAATTAAATATATGGAAAACTTCAAAGCCCCGTTTCAATGTTAATCGATTTCAAATTAAGAAAATACGCGTCCACTTATTTTCGATATTCTGGAGTTCTGGGGGTTAACTGCATAAAAAAAAAAGTTTGACCACCCTAATGTACGTACTACATATAATACTTACCTACTCGTTAACCTAATAAAAGTAGAGTCCAAAACTGCCGTAAATTAAAATGAATCATTTTGAGGAATCAAAGTTTTTGTATGCGCAATTAAAAGCGACCATTTTAGTTCTTAATCACTGTTTATAAAGAAACGGCTGGCGAATCAGTTAATCGCCAAAGAGAATTTGTCAGATTTTTTCTACTTTAATTGTATTAAAATTTCCACTTCGGGGACATTCTGACCTTTCGTTATTAATCGATTCAGATGCCAAACAAAAATGGAGTGCACCTGAGCCAGTGAAATCTCCTTCAGTACATTTCTAGTTCGTTTCATTCTGTATAAATTTGTATTACCCTGGGTCTTAATTTTCGTATTCCCACTCGTCTTCCTATTCAACTTTGCTTTCGTATGAGTCTTCGTTATCGTAATTGTCTTTGTCTTTGCCTT